AGAAGGAAATGGGATCACACTTTGTGTTGATTATCAATCACACATGGGACTAATCAGCAATCAGGTTGATGAAGGTGCTCGCGGTGTGCATCGTAGCCATAGACCTCGTCTATTTTGGAATGGTCATACAAAACCACAATGCGGTTGATATTATTCTCATCCTGGATGTGCCAAAGCAAAGTGGTGTTAACTCCTTGCTCCAGGGAATTCGCGGTTAAGATGAAGATTGTCCGTTGATTCCGGAACCTTCAGAGTTCCTTGATTCGCAAAAGTTATCATTCGTTTTCTTTACTATGTCACCTTCTCCGACTTTCCACTATATTTGGTAAACAATTTTTTGTCTGCACTCAGCTGGGTCAAGTTCATCGTCTATGTGACTATTGTAAGGTGCACTTTTCAAGCACCTAAGTGATAAGTGTTACTCTGTTGACAGGATCCCCCCACCCTCGTATTCTCCAATCATCATAAAAATAGGAAATCAGTCTGATGGGATTATGCTGGCTGATACGATATGTCCATGTAGGCACCACGATAATCATGGTGGTTCAATAATAATGTGTTCATTATGGTTTGATAGTTTGTATTGGAGAGGCAAACAATTTGGAACTGTTCAGATTCATGCTAAGCTGCTACTTTTTTAAATCCATCTTCAGCTGTCACTTCCAACATGTGCGTTGAAGTATCCTATCAGCAATGTGGATTCCCTATCAGCTACCCTTTTCAAGAAGACGTAATGGGATTTTAGACTGAGCGCAAACACTTACACGAGAAAACCCATATTCTCAGCTCTAGCTCAAGCAAATCCTTTCTCCCACATACGGACGCGCATTCAGCAGCGCTATCTACCAAACCAAGGTATTAGTCTGGTAGGTAATACTGACGATTATTGCTATTCTTTCAAACATGGGCAGAGCAGCTTCCACACATAAATGAAACCGGAGAGGACTGCTACGCTTAATAAAAATGAGCTCAACTATATTCAATTGGTGGCGCTCTGCTTTTTCAAATAGACTGCCGCATTTCGGCCAAAGAAGAGACATTCCACTTATGAGGACCATAACAATGATCAGCTAAAATCGCCGGTTCCACCCAGTACCTGCGGACGTGTCTAAATCAGGTTGGAATACATCAGATGGTAATATACGCGAGATGTAATGCAATATGATCGCTTTCAGAGACCAGGCGGTCAGGCATTCATAGAATGCAACATGAGACTGATTTCTACTTATCAGGCATGGACGACCTCGCTAAGAACAAATTTGAATGCTCCAGCCAGAAGTGCTTTAAAGTCTACAGAGACGCGAAAACCTCCTCATTATACAAAGGCAGCATTGCCAGATATGGAGAGCAGCAAATCTAATTAAATTGAATCTGCATGCAGCTATCCGAAATAACCTTACAGAACGAGGGAATGAACTTCGTATTTTCGATAAGTCCTAGAATTGGTTCAGTCGTTGTGTAGCAATTGTACATGACTATCTTACGCCGTATAATAGGGTCGCTAATTGTATAAATTATAACTTCACGTGCATTGCGAAGACAGTACTCAGGCTAATATAATACACAGGACAGCCAGAGTGAATAAACATCCTGAGCACTTCAGTTTCGTCGATTTTACTCGAATGTAATAGTAAACGCAAAAGAAAACAATAACGTAATGTCACAAAAAAAGGTTTAACTTCAAACACAGACGAGGATCCTTTTAAGCTGGAATTTAGTTTAAAATTCGACAAAACCTTTACGGGATAACACTGCACATAAAACTTATTTATAAATTCTCCGCTATGGATCGTCCTCAATCCGTCGTCATGGACAGAAACGTTTTATAATATCTTTCTTTGAAGACGAGTCGAGAATTATGCCAAATATTGATGAATTCGTAGATAATAATTTTATGTGCAGTCATTCCGCAAAGGACTTGTCGAATTTTGAACAATATGATTACGCATCCAACTGCAAAGAATAATTTTATGATCAAGATCTTGATTGTACTCAGTGTTGTACGCCGCTAGAGATGTGCTTGTAGAAGTCTGCCTCTTCTGCTTTGTGGAAAATAATGAAAGGAACTAGGGACAACTCAAAA